ACAAATTGGTACCTACCCCATGAGGTGGGGACGAATTTTATCTCAAAACAAAAGTTGACTTTTCAAAATCATGTACTTTTCTGGAGACCTAAATTAATTTTTGAAAGCATCATATATTATATGAAAGTATGTACTCTAAAGTAATTGTGCTTATGATCGTGCACAATACTCAATTAAGATTGTAAATATTCCTATAAAAAATTGACAACTTAATCAAACATTAAAAAATATTTTGATCAGAATCAGACATTTCCATTTCAGTGTTATTTATTTGGAAGATAGACGTACTACATATAACCTATTATATGCAAATCATTGAACAGTTTGGTTGTTGCAATGATTTTAGAGTTGTTTATCATAATATCTTTCTCATTCGTTCGGATTTGCAATATTTATGTGTCTAACTTATTTAATGCATTTATTGTCCAACTTTTTGCACCATATATAATGCTTCGAAAATTCAAGATAAATATAATTTCTTGATTCTTCAATAATAATAAAACAGAATTGATATTGAGACAATACTGAGAAACATATCATTTGTCAAAATATTTCAGATGAGAAGAATTTGAATTCTATAATATTATAATACTCTTAGTCACTGTGAACTTCATTATTATGATATCATATTGAAGTTTTCTTCTATATTATGACAATATGGAATCATTATTTATGAAAATCAATTTCTTATAGATAACATATATTTAAATGTTAGCAACAAAAAAGTAGTAATTTTAAAAGATTTTTGTTTCTTGATATTGGTATTCATACTTTTCTAATAAAATTCAGACTTTTTCTTTTTCCTATTTCATTATAGTTGCTTATTTGTTTTTTATTTTATTCACAAATAATATTTTATTTGTTGAAAGAATTAGAGCACATTTATATGCATTGCTTTTTTTTTTTTTTTTACGTGTAATAATATATTTGATAAAAATGTACTTTTATATTGTTTGTAAGATTAAAAAGTTTCGATTTTTTTTTCCATTGTTTAATAAAATATTAAGTAACCAACTCATTATCATATTCACAAAAAATATATTTTTACAACCGCTACGGTTTAACATACAACTCGTTTATTTTTTCTTTTAATTCACATAGTTAATGTTGGTAATCGTTGTACATTTACATCAATTTGCACTTTTTTCTTGGTATGAATGTTTCAAATCTATATAAGAAAAATATACCACAAGTTTATCTAATGTTATTTTATAATTAATAAAATTGAGTTAACATGGATCTATAATTTATTTTATAAGATACTTTTAGGTCCATTTATTATTTTAAATTGGTAGTGACATATATATATATATATTATTATTATATTTGATAGATATTTATATTATTTTTATTTAATTTACAATAAATTAGTAAAATCAAACATCATTGAAAAGAAATGATGTGATATTTTACATATAAAAGGGCAACAAAAAAAATTAATAGTAAAAAGTATAAAAATTTTAACCAAAAAAATTAAAACTGACATACCGATTTCCGATACAAAAAAATAAATATATTTTTTATAGATGTGCATCTTAAGTATGTTTTACATTTATCATTCGCCAACAACAATTGGTATAGGACAATTATTAATTTTATCATTTTTTTTTTAACTTTTGGAAGGAATGTGAGCTATAAGCTTTATCATTGTGTAGTCTTACCTTTTTATTATGTAGAACATCATTCTTTCCCCTTGTTTAGTTACAATAATAGTAATAAAATAATTAAATAATTTTCAACCTAGATGTATCTTTTTTTTAAAAAAAAAATATTACTATAATCATAAATTATATGATAATTATGTTGAATGTGTTATATTTTGTATCATTATCAATAATTTCAAAATAATTAATTGCACACAATATTATATATAATTTTGTCAAAATATTTCAGATGGGAAGAATTTGAATTCTATAATACAATAATACTCTTAGTCACTGTGAACTTTATTATTATGAAATCATTATTGAAGTGTTTATTTTCTATATTATGATAATATGGAATCATTATTTATGAAGAACCAATTTCTTGTAGATAACATATTTTAGCAACAAAAAAGTAGTAATTTTAAAATATTTTTGTTTCTTGATATTGGTATTCATATCTACTTTTTCTTTTCCCTATTGCATTACAGTTGGTTTATTTGTTTTTTATTTTAGAAAAAAAAAATGTCTAAACTACATGGATAAAGTACAAATAACTATTGTCAATAACATGAAACTTACACCTAGAATTAACAAGCACAATAAATTAACAAACGTTTAACAATTCAACTCATTTACATCGATAAGTACAATTTTTAAAAGTTATATATTTATTTTTGTTAGTTATAACATTTTTAGTAATTACTTTTTTTTCATACTTAGTAGAAGGTGTTACAACTTAATTATATTTTTTATATTATTTATTAGATTTAATACTTTCTTATTTTATATTGTTCTTTATATATATAATTATAGTTGTACATTTTTATATTATATTATATATAATTAAAATTTTCTCATTAATATTATACTCAAATATAAAAAAATTTACTTATAATAATAATACATATTAATAGATTGATGAGAAATGGTAATATATCGATTTAACTTCTTGGTAAAAAATAATCAATTTTCAAGGTATATAGGCACATCACGATTACCTAAATATTTTTAATTAATTTGAAGATAATAATGGATAAAAGTACAAATAACTATTGTCTACCACTTAAAACTTACACCTAGAATTAACAAGAACATAAAATTAACCAGCGTTTAATAACTCAGCTCTTTTACATCTATAAGTACAAGTTTTAAAATATTTATCTTTATTTTTATTAACTATAACATTTTATTTATTACATTTTTCATATTTATTAGTAAGTCTTATAACTTAATTATATTTTTAATATTATTTATCATATTTATTATTTTTTCCTTTATAATGTTCATTTATATGTTTTTATATAACTTTTAGATTTAATAAATAAATTGCATAAAATTAGTTATATAAATTTTTGGGTCATATGTCTTATTAAATCTTTGTATTATATTATATATAATTACAATTTTCCATTAATATTATACTCAAAATATATATGAAAAAAATATTCCGTACATTTTTTTTTTTTTGATAAAAATAGCTTTATTAGAATAATACAAATTAATAAATAGATGTGTAATGGTAATATCGATATAATTTATTGTTAAACATTAATTAATTTTCAACGTATGTTGACATATCATGATTCTCTAGATATTTTTAATGAATTTATAGATAATTTTTAACGTATCCCGGCCCATTTTACATAAAATAAATAAATTGGATTTTAGTATTATACAATTTCGTAAAATTGTTCTAATCTTATTTTAAGCAAAGAAATTGAGTAGATTAGAAGTTTAGGCTGCAAAACAAGTATTCAACAATTAATCTCTCATACTATTACACAATTTATTCTTTTTTTATAAGTTATTTTGAATGAAAAAAAAAAAGATCTTTATAGTTTGTGTCGTTATGAGGACATGCAATATCGATTTTAATTTTTTTACTTAGAGTTATCATTATCAAATTAAATAAATATTGTTGAAACAGTATCTTATTTGATAAGATACTTACGGTTAAATAAATTCTCAAATTTTGTTGAGAAAATTATAAAAGCATTTAAGAATCTTAAAATAATATTAATATATAAAATATTTAATTTATAAAAAATTTAATTATCATCTTTTATAGAGCACCCTTCTAGAAAATCAATTGCTCTAATGAAATAATAATAATTAAAGTTGCATGATATATTTTTGTTAATAATTGGATGAAAACTTCAAATATTTTAAGTGTTAGTAATTAAAATATTAAGCAATTTGATATTAATCACTCAATGGTCAGGTGAAGATTTATTAACTTTATTAGCTTTGCGACAGAATTTTGAAAATACAAAATAACAGACAAATAAATGACGATTTTTGTGTTAAAAAAATCAATCCACTAAAACTAAGGTGCAATTTCTAATTCTAAATACAAGATTTTATATTTCTTAAATAATAAAGTAGTTAAATGAATTCTTCCACTACCCCTCAACTAAGTTGTCATGTTCTACCAAGATATATCGTTTTGTTAAAAGATATGTAAATAAATAGTTGAAAATATTTGGTTTCTTAATAAGTATTTATTATGTTGTTTTTGTTGCATCATTTTTTCTTTAAAGAACTTTTATAGATTAATACCATTAAATAGGATTACGATTTTATCATTAAAATTATATTAAATATAACGATTTTTTTTTTCAAAACAACAATTCTATATCATTTCAAAGCTTTGTTGTTTGGATTAATGTTGGGTTTATTTTTTGGAGCTATGGAAGAAAGCACAGATTTTTGGAAGAAAGCAAATTCTTGAGGAATAATGGTGTGGTATGAAGTATTATGGTTGATTTTTAAGAGATGTGGAATGTTTTGTCTGTTTAATTTTATTTAATTAATTTGACATTAAAAATATGTCAAATGAAGGTTTTTAGGTAAATAAAATTAATTAAATAAAAATATAAGATGAGATGGATATTAGTGTATTACTAATTTGACATTAAAAATATGTCAAATTAAGGGTATTTTAGGTAGTTCATTATTTTTACAAAAATACTCGTCCTTTTATAGTAGTATAGATATAGATATAGATAATTCTACCATTGCATTGAGCAAAAATCCAGTTTTTCATGGAAGGTCCAAGCATATTGATATTCGGTTTCACAAAGTTCGAGAGCTGGTAGCCGAGAATGAAGTGAAAATTGATTATTGTCCAACTGAAGAGCAAATTGCAGATATTTTCACGAAGTCATTAAAAGTCGAGTTATTTTACAAGTTAAAGAAAATGCTTGGAATGATGCTAGCTTGNTTTTTTTCAAACGGATAAATATTATTGCTAAAAAGCCAACAATATACAAAGGCCAATCAAGTGATTGAATGTTTCTGTAATCTAGCCCTATCTCAGCTAAACTAAAGAAACACGGGATAGCATTTAAGTTGCTACCCTATAGCAAAACCTGATCTAAGCAACCAATAAAAAAGGGGAACAAAAATAATACATCCCCTGAAATTATAACATCCTACTGAACCCATACCAAAATAGCCAACAAAAGTAATTACAAACCAGCTTGAAGCAGTACCCATTAATACAATGCCCAGAACAAATAATCTCAGCCGGTTGCAACAGGATAGATGATTGCCTCAGCACTGACAATAGACTTTGTCCTACTTCTGCAAACATCCTCCCCACTTCCCCCATCTTACTCTTCCTCTGCACCTCCTTTCCCATTCCAAGATGCAAATTCTGTCCATTCCCTTATTGCTCCATCTGCTATCTCCTTCTCAGATTTCCACTCTTGTTTAAAAATCCAATTATTCCTTGTGCGCCATAACCGCCATAACAAATAAGTTGTTAGCTCTATTCTATCTTTCCTGCATTTTCCTTTGTCTATGGTGATTACTGCTCCCCACCATTTTCTAAAATCCTCCTCCTTGTCTTTAAGCCCATCCCAATTAAGTCCGGACAATTTCCAAACTATCTTGGCTCTTTTACAGGCAAACATGATATGTTCTAGAGTTTCCTCTGAATCTCCACATTGGTGACAGATCATGTCCACCTCCATCCCCCTCTTCTTCAGTTGATCTTTAACTCCTAAGAACTTGTGCCAACATTTCCAAACAAACAATTTGATTTTGCTTTTTACCTGGAGTGCCCATGTTCTCCTCCAAATCTTCTATTGCATCATTTGATTTTCACTGGATCCTTCACTATTCTTGCTCATACTCCATTTGTTGACCATAACTGATACATATGTTTGACTGAGAAGGTGCCTTTAGGACAATTAATCCAGAAAAGTTGATCCCTCTTTCCTGCTACTGGGGGAGTGAGTTTAAGAATTTCTTCAGCTTCAATTGGAAGGAAAGTCTGCTGAATCAAGTCTTCATCCCATCCTCTATTTTCTTCTTTGCATAGATCAGAAACTTTCCTCAAAGTATAACTATCCCTTTCAAAACAGCAAACAGGCGTAGAAAAAGGTGAATTGGGAATCCATGAGGACTCCCATATACACTGCCATCCCCAATTTTATACCTTATCCCCAACTTCAGAATGTACCTAGCTTTTAACCAAGATTTCCAAAGCCAAGAATCTGATTTTTTTGGCACTACATTATATAGATTCTGATTATGAAAATATTTACCCTTAATCACTTGACTCATCAAAAGATTGGGTTGAGATATAACTCTCCAAAGTTGTTTTGCTATCAAGGTGTCATTAAAGAGATAAAAATTTTTAAATCCCAAACCCCCCAATTCCTTAGGTAATGCTAATTTGTCCCACCCTGCCCAATGTATTCTTTTCTTCCCTTCTTCAGAACACCCCCACCAAAAATCAGCAATGACTTTACAAATATTAAAACAAATACCTACAGGCAATTTAAAGCATGACATAATATACACTGATAAGGCTCTTAGCACTGACTGAATCAAAATTTCTCTCCCTCCTTCACTCAAAAATCTATTTTTCCAGTTAGACACTCTAGAAACAACACAGTCTGACACAAATTTGAAAGTGTCCAATTTGGATCTTCCAATACCTAGGGGCATCCCCAAATATTTGGAAGATTTAACCACTTGAACCCCTCCAAATAGTTGACAAATGTAGTCCCTGGAATCATCAGGAGTATTTTTTGAGAAGAAGATAGAGGATTTAGAGAGATTTATAACCTGTCCAGAAGCTTTCCCATAAGAGCACAAAATGGAATGAAGGATATCTGCATTTTGTCTATTAGCCTTACAGAATACAATAACATCATCAGCAAATAAAAGGTGAGTTATAACTGGAGCAAACAGACCTATTTTAATACCAATAAAATTAGAAAATTTAGAGGCTTGCTTAAGGGAAAATGATAAGGCTTCTGTTATGATAAAAAATAGGTAGGGAGATAATGGATCTCCCTGCCTTAAACCCCTTGAAGGCTTCACAAAACCCTTAGGCTGCCCATTGATATTAAAGGAAAAGGAGGCCGTATTTAAGCAGCTGAAAATCCAATAAATGAAGGTTTTACAAAATCCTAATTTTTTCAAAATAAGGATGAGAAAATCCCATTCAACCCGGTCATAGGCTTTGGACATGTCTAATTTCAGGGCCATGAAGGAATTTCTCCCTTTTTTTTTTTACTATTCAAAAAATGGATACATTCATTAGCAATTATTATATGATCTATAATCTGCCTACCGGGTACAAAAGCTACCTGGTTAGGTGAAATACAAAGGTAGAGAACTGCTTTGATTCTATTAGCCACAATTTTGGATAGAACCTTGTAAATTACTGTACAGAGGCTTATAGGACGAAAATCAGATACTTTTAAAGGGTTAAGAATTTTGGGGATAAGGGTAATTATTGTATGGTTTAGTTTTTGAGGAATGCAACCTGTCTGAAAAAAATTTTTTACTGCTGCACAAAAATCATCTTTAATAATATGCCAACATGACTGGAAGAATAGTGAGGTTATACCGTCTATACCAGGGGCTTTGTGAGGGTTCATCTCCATCAGGGCATCCTTGATCTCTTCATCCTCTACAGCTTTTGTCAAAGACTTATTCATTTGGTCTGTAATTACCCTCTGGAATCCATCAAGATTACACTCCTCCACTTTGTGATCAGTAGATGTGAAAATCTTTTGAAAAGAAACCATTATTTCCTCTAATATTTCCTGCTCATCTTCACATCTTTCCCCATTATCTGTAACCAAGAATTCAATGTTGTTCTTTCTCCTCTGATGCTTAACACATGCATGAAAGTACCTTGTGTTTTTATCACCATTCTTAAGCCATTGTATCCTTGACTTTTGCCTTCAATATTCTTCTTCCTCTAAGTATGCCTTATGAAGTTTCTGCTTAATCTCCATCCAGTTTTCCCAATCCTTTCTGCAACCCTGATTTAACATCACTGCCAGTTGAGAATTATAGCTTTTAATGAGAAGAGCTGAATTAGTACTCATAGTTGTCTTCCATTTCAGCAAAGCCATCCTTGTGTTTCTGATTTTGCTTTATATGTTGTACAATGGAGGGCCAGAAACCTCTTTTTGCCAAGCTTCAGTCACTGTTTCTTGAAATCCTTTCTTCTTTGGCCACCTTGCATCAAAATAAAATCGTTTCTTTCAATGGCCTGCCCCTGAATTTGTGTCCATCAATATAAGACAATGATCCGAGGATATCCTGGGTATATGTGTTATTGTAGTCTGGGGAAAGTTTAAGAGCCACTCATCTGAAAGAAGAAACCTATCTAATCTCTCTTCAACAAATCCTTCCCCATTTCTATTATTAGACCAAGTGCAGGGGTAGCCTTTAAAGCCTATATCCTGAACATTAAGCCCCCTANCCCTTAAGACCTACTGGATCCACCACATACCACTTGTCCCCTACCTTCAGATTCTTACACACAGTTTTAACAAAATTCTTTTTTTTTTTTTGTTTCAGATAGAGACACAAAATCAGGGAGGTGGAATCTCATTGATTCTTTTAACTGGAAAATTGTAGAGGGCCCCCCCAGACCTCTACAATTCCACACCATCACTCTCATTGACCCCCTAGAGACCATTTCTGGCTGGTCTCCTCCACCATATTTAGGACTGCCTCTTTCTGAACTTCTACAAAAGTTAGGTTTTTCTTTTTTTTTTTGAAAATCTAGAGTCAACTCTGAATCAATCATAGATAACTCTGATTTCCTTTTATTCCTATCCACCTTACTACCTAAATGAGAGATAGGTGATTTACCCATCTCTTGAGTTTTCTCGGCCTTTCTAATAGCTATTTTATGTTTTCTACCCCCTTGAGATGACTCAGACTTAGGGTCAAGATCTTTTATAATTCTTTCAGTAGCTACTTGCACAGGAACAGCTATCAGATTGTCTAAAAGCATCAAATCAGTTTTATCACCACTCTGTTCATCAAACTTTTCTACAACTGGTTCTCTACAGTCAATGACCCTAGTTCTTACCAATGGGACTTGACTCTGACTAAGTATATCAGTTCCTAGATTATGGCTACTTCCTAAAGACCCTGACTCTTTTTCTCTCAACAACCCCTCATTCTCCTTACTACCCTCTACTCTATTCCCATTACTACTCTCTTCTTTATTTGCTTGAGATCCCAGGACCTCATCTTCAACAGACTTCCTAACCTCTGTGTTGGGTTTAGGCTCACTAGTACCAACCCCCCCCCCCCTNCCCCCCCCCCCTATACCCTAACCCACTACCCTGAGCAGCTCTTAACCAGTCCCCATATTGACCACTTGCCAAACACTTCTCAATGACAGCCTCTTTTTTGTCTACACATGATCTCTCCGTGTGTCCAATCTTCCTACAATAGTAGCAGAAGTTCTGGAGGTTCTCATACTTGAAGCTGACCCACTTCGATTCTTCTCCCAACTTCAGGTTTGTGCCCCTCAGGAGTGGTTCGTTCAGATTTAATTCCACTAGTATTTTCACAATTCTTCCTCCTGCTCCCCCCATCTCCGGAATCACTACAACTACTACTCTATTAAAAAGCTGCCCAATCTTCAAACCCACCTCCTCTGAAACCCAATGGAGAGGAAGGTTATGTATCTGCATCCACAACTCTATCTTCTGCTCTTTTGTTGTATACCCATTGTTCTCCTCACTCAATTCTTTCAGCAACAAATATTGTCCATCAAGATTCCATGCTTTCCCTTCCAAGACCCTTTTCATGTCTTCCACCGACTGAAAGTTGAATTGGTACTTGTTCTTACCCACAACCCTCGACGTGAATGGCTTCTTTGTATTCCAGATGCTCTGCAATGTTGTTTTGAACCCAACAATTTTAGGTTTTTTTTCCCAAATATACTTCCCATTAGGCTCACCTCACACTCCTTTTTCCCAATTCGTATATCCTCCGACGCAATTTCTACTCCTTCTTCTTCTTTTTCGAATAGGTTGAATTTTCTGAATTCTTCTGCCAAATCCGTCTCCATGATGCAAATATCCCTAGCACCTCTGACGCTGAACCAAGATATGACAAAAGCCGTAGAGGTAGAGAGAGATGCACCTGAGAAGAGACTCTTTTGAGAATAATCAAAAGGGTAATGATCAGATCTCTAAACTACAAAGGATAATCCACGACCAAACCCTAGGACCGGGTAGAACGGAATAGGAAAATGTAATTACTAGACGATATTTTTAAGGATTGATTTAAGATCGCAAATGGATGAAGAGATAGTAACGATCGCAAAGAAGACAGATTGAAGAAAACAGATGACGAGATTCGGGGACTACATCCAACTAAGTGGAACTTGGGAACTCAAACTTGAGACGAAAACTCTAGAAAGAGACACACCTAACGAAAATCTGCACCGATGCGAGCTTCATTTAAGGGAAGCAATGTTAGTAAATTTAATTACATCAAGCTATTGTCAAAAATTGTGTACTACCTCAATGAATGCTTAATGGAGAAGAAGAAAAATTCAAGTTGGCCACAACCCACCAATTACTACAGCCGCCCCAATGGATGTTTAATATAGGAAGAAGATTTTAGCTTTGTCTCTTTTTATTAGTTTTTTTATTGTCAACATATGCCTATAAAAGGCAAAGGGCTGTACGTTTGTAATGCAAGTGAGTGAATAAATATTTAGTAAGAAAATTCTCTTTTTCTTCCTTCATTATTCTGCTATGCATATAAGTGTGTGTTATATAAAAAATTCTCTAGTGTTATTATGTCCAATTGCTAACAGTTTTTGATGATTCTGGTTTGGTGTTGTTCTAAAGTTTTTGAATTGAAAGCTTCAGGCTTTCTGACTTATCTTAGCTGCAACTGCATACCTCGTCACTTCCAATGACACCCCATCTTTTACAAATTCCTCATATTGCATCCAAACCCCTTGCATTGACCCGACATGTAAACTGCCCGTTTGCTCTGGGCCCACTTGCTTCAAACCCCGCATTTTCAACTCGAAACCCTCAAAGGCAAAAACCACCAGTCGGGCAAGATGGAAATTATTTTGATGAAAACTCCAGTTGTGTTGGTTGCCGAGCCAACCGCAGCTCGGTCAATGTCGTTTGTCGGAACCCACGAGTATTTACCCCCGAGATTATGAAAGGGGATGGCTATGGTAGCTCGGTTTATTGGTGGACTTTTGGGATCTTCTTGTACGAGTTACTTCATGGAAAAATGCCGTTTAAAGGTAATGACAATAGAGAGACTTTATTTAATGTTGTAGGACGGTCTCTAAAATTTCCCGAAGGGCCCGCGATTAGAGCATGTTTGTTTATAAAAATTTTCAAAAAATTTCCAATATTTTAACTCAACTTTAACTCAACTCCACTATCATCAATATTAGGGTAAATAATTTTTTCCAACCTGTAGTATACGTGCTTTTGGGATTTTCAACCTAACGTATTTTTTGTTGTAAAATACAACCTGAACTACATATATACAATTATTTGCACGTTCGACTACTTTTTGACCGTCCGATCATCTGTAAAAAAGGACACGTGTATGGTCAAGATGTGGTCGAGCGTGCAAATAATGACTGTATATGTAGTTCAGGTTGCATTTTATAACAAAAAATACTTTAGGTTGAATATTCCAAAAGTACGTATAGTACAGGTTGGAAAAAATTATTTACCCTCAATATTATTAATATAATTAAATAATATCAATCAATCATTCATACACACAACATCAACCTTAATTTACTATTCATCTACTCACATTATTTTAACTAACCATCACATCAAATCATTTCTCTCCTACTTTTACATCAAATCAATTTTAATTATTATATTTAAATATTATTTTAATATACCCACTAAGACCATCCACATCCCTTAACATTCATTCAATCCCAATTTACACTCTCTTTCATCCACATCATCTCCACATCATCTTTCCACTAAACATCTCTCCATTTAAACACACACCTACGTTCATTCATTCATTTAAATACAAACATATGGGACCCATTATCCACTTATTCAATACTATTTTTATATTCTATTCTTAATAAAATAAATATAGTTTTTTAATTAGAATACTTAATGTTAAATGATGAAAATACACTAAATATTATTAGATTATAAAAAACATAAATTAAAATTAAAAATGAAAAATAGTAGAACAGGAAAAACAAAAATAATGGTACAAGAAAATTATAAAACTGAAGTGTGAGGTGTATTTTATAGGCATAAAAAAAATGGGAGATATAAAATGTAAATTACTGATACATGTTAACAAATGTAATATAGATAAAATTTGGATTTATATATAAAATTGAATTAAATATATAAAAGAAAAATATAACCAAAATAATTAACTAAAAACAAAAAAAAAAAAACATAAAAAAAGCAACAAAAAGTGGCGTTCAATGTATTAAACGGCAACAAGGGCCCTCCTAATTAATGGATGACTCGCATCCATGTTAAACGCGGGGTGGCCGTTTAAACGCTCACAAAATGGGTGCAATGCGGGTGCCCTAACAACTAAACATATCACCTTTTTTCAAAATTAACCAAACTAAACCAAAAAATCTAAACAAAACCAAAAATTTTTATAAACAAAAATTTCACGGCGAAAGGATTTGATTCGGGGTTTGCTTGCAAAGGACCTCCCAAACAGGTTAGGATTTAAAAGAGGGGACACAGAGATAAAACAACACCCATTTTTCAAGAGGGTGAATTGGGCCCTCGTTCGCAGCACAGGCCCACATCAGATTCCCAAGCCCGTTTATTTCAAGTGGCTTAACGAGACTTTGAGGCCGTCTAATCAAAAGGGGGCAGTGACTCATCGGGCACATACTTGGAGTTCGAATTTTTCTAAAACAAAATTGTTGTGTCTGTTGTTGTCTTGTATTGGCATTCCTTGGGCATAGCTTGATTTTCATTCGTTCTTATTTATTTATTTTCTCATATAATCTTCCTCTTCAAATTGCATAATAATTTATTTTTTTTTTTTT